ATGGAGGTCGGAGCACGGATAGAGGGGCAGGCATGGAGGTCGGAGCATGGATAGAGGGGCAGGCATGGAGGTCGGAGTCCGTGTTTAGATTTGGTTCACGAATCTAGTTTGGAGTACTACAGGACACTTGCAAGGTGCCCACCAATAATGTCATTCCGTAGCCACCATTCTTGTGCTCATGAAGAAGCCCCCTGAGCCCAGTCACCAGGTTTGGCTCTCCTGTCCTGCATCCCAGCCTGTTGTGGAGCCTTGCACCCAAGCCTCTGTTCATGCTGAGAGTGGGGCTAAGTGGGAGGTGACCCCAGAGTCTCAGCTGTCCCCAGGGGGAGCAGGGGAAGAGATGTGGGAACCACTCATGCATTCCCAAGATGCTTAGCTGAAATTAGGTTTCATACACAGCTGCTGATTCCAAGGGCTCTGGTCTTCTGAAGACACCAGGGGAAGTCCAAAAAGAGACACTAGCTGACAAAGATCCACCCCACCCACGTCTGTCTGGCCTCTGGGAATGTGAATCTCAGCTGAGTAGATCTTGCATTTGTCTCCCTAGAATGTGCTTCACCCTGGTGGGCATTTAGCCGTGGCTATCCTTCTTCTATCCCTTAGAAAGCCCATTGTCACCAACGCGGGGCCCACTGCTAGGACCAGCCTGGGCCTCCTGCCAAGCTCCAGGCAGTCCCCAACTGCCTCACTGACAAATGCCAGGCCCAGGGGTCCCTCTGACACCCATCAGGCAGGATCCTTGACAGGCTGTACGGAAGGGAAGCACAGGGCCAGATTAGAAGCCAGGATATAGATAGCAGTGAGGCTGGAGGGCCGAATTCCATCTGTACCACACAAGTGGAAAGCAAGCAGATAACAGACAACACAGAGCTAGAAGGAAGGGAGCAGACTCAGGCCTGACTCAAGGCTCACCTTCCTGGCCCTGAGGCCCTCAGTGTGGAAAGGCTGTCAGCTTTCCACGCCAAGCCTGCGTGTTTAAGTGTGAGTGTGTAGATCCTGTGTGAGACACAGCAGAAAGGAACTGACCTTCCTGATAGGAATGCAAACTCCATGCTCTACCCTTGTGCCCCACCTCTGACCTTGGATCTCAGTTCAAGGGCACTCCCATCCTCCCAAAAAGGGTTAACAAGCTCAACTCCCAAGCTCATGGCCAGGAAGTCCAGCATAGAACCGCTTAGGGTCCATGACTTGGGATAGGGGCTGCCTTTAGCCCAACCCTCCTCCTCCTAGCACCACGCTGTAGATATCTTGCTAGCTCACAGGCTCTTGTGATCCCGCACCCCAGACACTGTGGTCATCCACCTCCCCTACCAGAGGATCCCAACAACCCCTTCTACGACTCAGAGCCAGAAGCAGTGGAGAGGCATGGCAGTCTGTCTTTACCTGTTCGAGTCCTGTGCAGATGAGACAGGTGAAGAGATCTGTCAGAGAGAAAAGACAAAGAAACAAGATGGTCTCTTTGGTCAGCAGAGCCTCTGGACTATCTCCTCAGTGTCCTGCACGCCAGCTATCTCCTTATCCTGATACCTCGTTTCCCCCAGGCTTCTCCTAAATGGCTCTCAGGCCCCCAGTGCCACCCCTTCCACCAGGAGCCCTATTCTTCCTGCCACTGGCTGCAGTCCCTTATGAGAGCATGCTCCACTGGGCTCTGCTCTGGGCTCCTGAGAAACATGTTGGACAGTTCTTTCCCTCCTGGTCCAATGTCCACAGCATCTCACAGGAGAAATGCCATTTGCTGGGTCAAAAGGCTAGGAGTCTTAGAGAATTCTGCCAACAAACCTACTTATCTAAATAAGCAACATCTCTGTCTCTCAAACTTCATTTCCCCTTTAAACAAAACCTCACCTCTCTGCTCATCCATGCCCAGGTCCTTGGTCAGACACTTACCTAGTTTAGTCCTCGTGGAGTAAGGCTGGCCTGAGCCTCCCCACAGACTGCAGAGTGTGGGGGCAGAGCTGAGGGCAGGCTATGAAAACCGTGGCCTCCGGCAACTGGCCAGTAAAAATAGAACAGCCACTGCCCCTCCAGCTGCCCCTCCTTCCCACCCCCTCCCACCATGCACACCTCGCAGGGCAGATATGTGCTGCAGTGTATACCACAGGCACACAGGCTTAGAGACCAGTGTGTGTACACCAGGACCACATGCAAACCCTGCACACACAGAGTCTTTGACTTGGGGGAAAGCAGCATTCACCTGTGGGAAGGCAGAGAGGGGATGTGGAGCTGACCAGAGATGTAAACAGGAAGGGGATGAAGGAGATCAGGGCCTTGGGAGGCCTGAGGAACCATTAAAGGCCAGGGAGGGAGCCAGCAGGCTGACACTTCCTCTCCAGCCAGGACATGTAGACATGCAACCCCAGAAGATTCTCTAAAATCCTCAAAAAGCCAAAGACTTAAGTGTTTGTGTCTCTGGTGCCAGTGAGACAGGAGGGTGCCTGCAGGGTTCTGGGGGCCCCAGAGCATGTTTCTGGGGTCCCACTGAGTCACAGTAACAGAAGCGCCACCTTTATGTTCATGGAAGCCTGCAGATCGGTGGACTTCTACACACTTCTCCAGATGGCCTTTAAGGAATCTCCATTGCCCAGGTTCGAAGTAGCATTCCACATTCCATTTCTTGAACCCAGGGAGACTAAAAGTCTTTTCCCTGCTCAATCTTCATGTCAACCAGAGCCTGACTGCAGGGCCACACCTGTTTCCTGGGTATTTTTAGGACTGTTGATGAACACATAATACCCACCCTATAGTCAGAGAAAGACAATGCCTGCTATGTTAATCTGGTGCCTATTATAGTCGGTCATCTTGTGGGCCAAGATCCCAGGTTAGTCAGGACAGGCAGAGCACTGACCCCTCTGGGAGGCCAGGAGCAGGCTCACAGAGAGAGGGAGTAGGTAGGCAAGGGTGAGCTAAGGAGGTGTCTTTCCAGTGCACATAAAAGAAAAAAATAATCTGCCATGGGGACACTAGTATTCTGCTGCCTGACAGAGATGGCTCCAAGCCTGTTCTTCACAGGTCACATCCGAGAAGCCTCTTGCTGATGGCTGCCAGGGAGAAAGGACAGGGTCTGAGAAGCTGTAGGGGCTAGGACATAAGAGTAGAAAATAGACAGCCATCAATCCACATGGAGCAGCTGCAGAGGAGGAATTTAGGAACTTTGGGGAAGGGTTCACTGGGGGTTATTGCCTTGGCTTTTTGTGGCTCTCTCTCTCTCTCCTCTCTCTCTCTCTCTCTCTCTCTCTCTCTCTCTCTAAACATTTAGGGTGTGTGTGTTTGTGTGTGTGTGTGTGTGTGTGTGTGTGTTTCATGTGTGTGGTGCATATATAAGTGTGTGTACAGAGGTGTACTGATAATTGTGGAGGCCAGAGTCAACGTGGGGTATTATGGGAGTATCTGCAATGGGAACATTTATAGAAACAGAGTCTCTCATTGGGACCTGTGGTTCACTGATTCAGCTAATCTACCTTCCCAGAGAGCCCCAGAGTCCAGCCTGTCTCCCAGTGCTGAGGTGATGTTCCCAGCTTCTGATGTGGGTGCTAACTCAGTAGACAGCAAACATTCTAACAATGGATCATCTCTCCAGCACCTACCATAAATTTCCTTTAAGACTTCACAGCAAAAAAGAAAAAAAAAGAAGAAAGAAAAAAGAGCATGAATTCATGTTTGCATGAATTACCCTGCTTTTTGAAAAGGAAAATGAAGATAATGTGGCAAAGTACAAGAAAGGACCAAAGCAAACCAAAAATCAGATGACCATGGGCTTACAGCAAGTCACTGTGAATGTAGACCACCCAGGAGGGTGTCCTCTCTGCTGAAACTACAAGGCCATGCAGAGAGTCTTGGGAAGAGCAGGACCTGCATCCTCTTGTGCTAGCTCCCAGCGTCCTACCTCAGTTTGCTTTCCCTCCACACCATGTGGCTCCAAGCACCTAACTCTCTCCCTCAGGTCCACCCCAACTCAGGACTCCAATGTTGGCTTTGCACTTTGGTCCCAATTCTGACTTTATACACTTGCCCACAGACTTCCCTGGGGTCTGTCTCTTGATTTCACTCAGAAATGACCTTCAAAGCTAGGTCTGTTATTGCCTGTGGTGCATGTACAAGCCCCAGCATCCGGAGCATGGAAGCGGGTACAGAGACCTCCAGGGCCACCCACAGGTAGGCCCTGTAATTTCTAGCAGGAGTCCTCTGTCTAGCTAAGGATTCACTCCATATGTCTCTGCCCTGACCCCAATCGATGCCCTTACCAAGGTGCCTCTGTTGCTTTTCTCCTGACCTCCTCGCTTACAGAAAAGGGTACCTCCTTTTCAGTTCACGTCTGTCCAGGAATAAGTCACCTATTCTGACTCTACAGGGGTCTTGGGAAAAGGCTATCAAAGAGCCTTCAGGCTATGTTTAGCTTCTCCTCAGACGTGGAGTCAAAGCAGCCAGCACTCATGGCTCTCCAGAGTCCCTAGTCAGAACTTCCTGTGGCCATGTGGGTAATGGTCCCACAAACATGACAATGTGAATATGATACTTTATATGAACAAATCACAGACATGATTAAATTAAAGATGTGTCCTGAGTTATCACAAGTGCCCTTTTAAGACTGGGACATGAGGCTCAGGGTTGGTATGAGATGTGGCATATGAAGAGGATGTCAAAGGAGAGAGAGGCCAAACACTGTCCTCCAAGTCGGAGGATGTGAGAGCCAGCCAAGGGACACAGGTGGCTTCCAGGACCTAGAAAAGAAAAGGAAATAGCCTCCCCTGGCTTCCAGAAGGAAACAGGCCTACAAACACCTCATCTCACAGCCTTGTGGGACAGGTTTTAGACATTGGCCTTTCAGGTCTGTATGATAACTTGTGCTGTTTTGAATAGTTAAGCTTGTGGTGGCTTATTATAGCAGCAATAAGAACTTAATAGGCTCTCTCCAGTGACTTGAAGGGCCTCAGGCTTCATGGTCAGGTCTGCTTGGGGCCAGCCAGAAAGTGTGAGCTTAGCAAGGTCAGAGAGAAGAAGGAGGGTAGGTGAAGTGTACCCACAGCAAGGCAGTCTTAAGGAAGACCCTGACACTTTCCTGACAAAACCTAGCTCCCTAGGGAGCTCCCCTTCCTGAAAGCCAGCTTTTTCTCTTGCTGGGAGGATCACAGGAGGTCAGAGGAGGAAGGCTCTACAGTCCAAGAGAACATGGAGAGGTGAGCCCATGTGTTAAGCGGTCCCAATGTACTGTGCAGCCCGTCTTCACAGACTCTTCCCTAATGTTATCATCAGTCTCCTTCTAACTCTGCTTCTGTGCCTTCTCTATGCCAAACACACCCCTGTCTCTGTCTGCAGCTCTGCTAAGGCCCATAGGTGTCCACTGAGCAAATGAAAAGACAGGACTCTCTTAATGCAAGAAGCCCAGCAGGCAATGGGGCAGCTCCAGTGGGTGTGACTTCGGGAGCTGGAGGGTACACTCAGCTATGCTGTATGTCCTGATGCTAACCTAACCCATGGCTCTCAGAGCGCTCTTTTGCTTTCCTGGGATGGTCACCACATACAACACCTCACATTCTAGGGCCTCCCAGATTCACCTCCAGTTTCTACTCTCTGCTGAAGCAGCAGCCTAGTTCACCACCCCACCCCAATCTCGGCATCACCCCCAACCTTAATGCCAACCTTCCAGAACCTAACCTAAATTAAGACTCAAGCTGATCAAATAAGCCAGCTCCCCAGGGCCCTTAGAACCTTTATTGGTAAGCTAGTTTAGGAGTATGCCATGACCTTGGGGGGAGCCTGGCTTCCAAAGGACTCCCCTTTGCCTCTTGGGGAACTCCTGCATTGAATAGGCTGATGAACTTCCTTCAGCTTCTTTAAAAGTCTGGGACCCTAAGGCAGTGTTGACAGAAGTTGGGCCTCAATGGAATGACCCCACGGTCACAACTTCTATGTCCCTCAACCCAATGAGAAATTAACAGAACAAAAGTGGGGCACAGTGGTGCATATCCATAATCCCAGCACTTGGGACACTGAGGCAGGAGAATTGCTATGAGTTTGAGGACAGTTTGAGTTGGAAGGAGAAAGGGAAGAAGCATGCAGGAGTATCCAGGGCTTTCTAGGTTGGGAGGGAAGGATGGGGCAGGAAAGAAACCCAGAATGGGTTAGCGAAAGAAGAAAGCTGAGGTGGAGTTTCCAGCCTTTGGTCCCACTGGTTTCCAACGTCATTACTGTCTCTCCCGGGGCTAGAAAGACTATAGGGTATGGGAGGAAGGAAGTATCTAGCCAGAATTGCTAATGTCTGCAAGGCTGTGGATAGTAGAGGCAGGGTCAGTCATCTCAGTGGAAGACACCTGTCAGCCAGCCCCAGCTGCCCTGGCACTGTTTGGAAAGCAGAAGAACCTAAATTAGCAAATGACAAAGCCATCCCATTTGTCCTGCCAGCCAGCCCTCCCACACTG